TCTCTCGCACCTTGCTGGCACAGTGGTGGGTGAAGTGTCCCCTTTGATGTCACCTGAACCATGTAATGTCCAGATGATGGTCTGTACATCTTCTTTTGGGATCGGGTACTGTTTCGGGGGAAGGGGCCCTGATGCTTCAGTTTCTGTTGGTTCGGTGTTTTACCCGTTCCTTCCCATCCCATCCAAGGACCCAGCAGCCCAACACAGACAATATACAAACCCGGGAGGACTAACCCCGGGCTGGCTCCCTCCGACAGCAGCTCCTGCCCCTCCTGTGCCCCACACCACAACAGGGGTGTTCATTTCACCTTGAATCCATCATTTCCTGTTGCACGTATCTATACAACACCCAGTTAAAGACAGGCACCCTTATATGTTATCAGGGACACCTTTTACAGGTAAAAAAAAAAAAATAATCATTTAATATACACCCAAAGTGTGGTTTTGATGTACTCACACTTGTAAATAAAGAGTTTTTTTCTCAGGTATTTGTCATACATGTGTATCTCCAAAATGAGTCATTTCTTAATTTCAACCATATGGCTTTGTGTAACTAGGACTCCATTTCAATAATGTAAACATATCTTTAATAAATCATTTAATATTTAGTCAACAGTCTTTAACTATATGAAATCTGAAAGTTTTGCTTTCAGTACTTAGAGCTGTTACTTACTATTTGCTATATTTATTTGAGCTATCAGTCATTAAAATGTTTTGTTTGCCTTTTTTTCTTATTTTTTTTCACTGGGACAAGTATTGCCATTATCATCCTGTGTACAATTGCCAACCACATTATTTCAATGAGTGCCTCTTACACCTTAACAGACCTAAGTACATTGCTGACATCCATGATTTTTCCTTTTCAAGCTCTTTTATTTCTCTATATAGATAGAGAAGTGAAAAATCTCAAAAAGTAGTTTTTAAAAAAATGCCTGCATTATTTCTGTCATGGAACCTCTATCCTGTTCTGCAAGGCAAACGTTCCTGGGTAATATCCATTTCCTACACCTACAAAAAGGGTATTTTCCTCCTGCAAGCAGACAGAGCTGCAATGTGTGCATGGGCTCAGTCTGCATGTTCCGTGCATTACTGAGTATATTACAGATGCTCTGTGTATTTTAGCTCTTGGCTGCATGTTCCGTCTTTAGAACTAAAATCGCGTAATGAAAACCTCTGTTAATTGCTGCCAAAGCTCTGAAGCGCAACACAAGGCCATAAATTTGGTAGCAGTGTATCCACTTACCCTCCAGTGATGCAGGAATGAAACCTTCCTGAGCTCTGACACAGAGGATACCAAACAAGAAAAGGAAGAATAATGGGTGAGCTCAGCTCCTTCCGCTGCAGAGCACCAAAACCTGTCCCCGTGGGATCCTGTGACATCCCTTCTGCTCAAGTCCGTTTTGTGGGTCTTCCTTTTGCCCTTCTTTTTCCTAAAATGAGAAATTTTCAGACACATTGCTCTTGGAGGTCTCATTTCTTCAGTGATGTCCACAACAAGCTGTCTGGAGGTCAGTCATTCTTCCCATGCTATTGCCTGATGTTCTGGACACGAGAAAAACAGGACAGGGCAGTTGTTCAAATGCACCTAAACAAAGTTATAATGCTTTAGTAACAGGCATTGCCTGTACATCCACTCTCTTTGGGGACCTCACCATCAGAATACTTGCCCATTTGGATTATTTTTTAGCACTTCCCAGTATAATCAAAAATTAAAATAAAAATAATGTTTACTAAGGGAGGTTGTTCCATAGTTCCAAAAAAAAAATAATTTTTTTTCTTTATAGACTGTAGTTTGAAGTATAATACTTGGAATTATTTTAGATTAAACCTTTTAAGCATTTTTCTTTCACTGTCTTACATTCCGCTTGAGCATTCTAAGCTAACAGGCTGCCACTGACGCCTTCATTCCCAAGATACAATGACTAGGATTCAAGTTAGAGGAGTAACTGTGTTTGCAACCCTGTTGCTGCCTTTGAAGATGAAAGTAAATACTATAAACAGATCATGTAACTACAAATAATCTAAGCTGTCACAATTTTAATGGCGGCTTTATATCTGTTTTATCCAGTCATTCAATTTCTACTAGTCCTGTTTGCATCTTCAAAACCAGCAATGCCCACAGTAAAAAAATAAAATAAAATAGAGCAGTCTGTGCTGGAAACTGTTAAACTCCAAGTACCGATCCCGCTCTCCCACAAATCTATCCTGGCTTCATCCTTCTGTCCACAGAAGGTTTGCTACAGTAAGGGCAAGAGAAGTCGAACCATATAAATGGGATGTATTGTATTTCAAAGTGTGTTTCTCTCATGAATATACTACCATTTACCTGTTCCTGTCTCAGAGCCTCTCCTAGAAACATTGACGAGTGTCAACAGGAAGGCAGAAGCAGCTGTAAGTCAGTTTAAGAAGTTAACAAAAACAGAAATCAATTAAGTATGTTCTATGGAATTAGTCTGCTTATTAACAGGAAAAGGAACAGTAGCTTAAGTCAGCTGCAATAATTTCAGAATTTACCTTTATGCATGTCACTGGCATTAATTAATCACGATCCCTAAACATTTTTGTGGGTTCAAAATGTGTTGGCCAACTGTGGGTAAAGACAGTCTCCCTGTGCTCGGCGTCCGCAGGAGCCCTGGCGAGCAGGAACACACCACACACCTCAGGCACAACAGCTGTCTCTGCCCCAGCCGTGTCCCTGCTGTGCACTCACCAGAGAGGCTGACACGCATCAGCCGCACCTTTCAGAGCCTGCGATCGCTCGCTCGGGGCAGCAGCAGTAGCTTCACATCACACTGCAGCAAACAAAATAAACACATTTAAACATAGAGCTCCTTTTCTGTATTAATTAGGGAGACTGGCAAAAATTTGTAGAAGACAAGTTTTACATTTAATCAGCTGACAAGTAGGGGTCTTTTTGTGTGTGTTTTTTTTTTCCTGTTTCATTCCCTAAGGAATGGCAAGAGCAGACAGCTAAGGCGGTATTAAAGTTCCTGTGTGCTGTCTCAGACAGGAGACTGATGAGTCCCGCATATTCCCAAACCAGGCACCCACCTGTCACAGTCAGGGAACAGAAGTGAAGGGGGTTCACATTTGGTTTAAATTACCTATTACATCACTTAATAATTTTGCTTTTACCATGCAGACCTGGGCTGGGTTGTGGTTTTTTTAATCCAATCACAATACACTGAAATTTAGTGGTGCAGGTCATTTAAATGCAGTGAGGGATGATGCTTATTTCTAATTTATTCTGGCTTTTGTTTCATGGTGGCAATGCTCACAGTTCTTTGCTTTTTCTTACAGAAGTTCCAGGTTATACATCCTCTACCTGGAGCTCTGCTCTTTGCTGCTCTAAGTAGAACATTTCTACAGCATACTGTTTTTCGTAAGAGTAAGACATTACCCTGCTCCAACTCTTTTCTTTTGGTTAACCTTTCGGTCTACATGTCCAATGCAAGCCTGCAGCCAGTCCCCTCTCGGTATGGCCTGCTCTTTGACATCAGAGGGTGCCAAGGCCTGCGTATCAACAGGTCATTCCATGAAACAAACTTCAAATCATAAACTGTCTATCGATATTTCTCTAAATTATCCTTTTCGTACAACAATTTATTGACAAATAAGGCATATGGCAAGCGAGTACTTTTCATTTGGTGTCAGTTGAAAGCATAGTCTCTTCCCTCTCCTACCAGGATTCGCCAAGGAAAGCAGCTGAGCTTGAAGGCCAGCCCACAGAACAGCAAAGCTCCACGGATGACGCTGAGGCAGCACAGGGACCTTACGGTCATACCAAGGGAAAATCTTGTGGACTACAGAGAAAAAAAAATATTTGAATGGAGGGAGTCACTCTGGTTACTGTAAACATCTCTTAAGGGTCATTATTTTTACTTTCTTATGATTGTTAATTTAATGTAGATAGATCAGAAAGAAAGAAGTCTAGAGGAAGTGAAAGGAGAGGGAGGCGAGGAAAGTCAGCAGTGAGGTCACCTTGGGATTAAGTACTGCAACACCCTGAGCATGGGCACACATCTCATGTATGTAGGAACTGAAGTTACTTAAGATTTAACTCCATATTAGCAGTATACTGCTGATTTCCAAGCATTCTGAACTATGGACAATGTCCCTAAAACTTAGGGTTGACTGTGCATCCTTGTATTTGAAGCGGGCAGAACTGAGGCTGCAGACTGAAACAAATATATCTGGTTCCTGCTTTCATAGGTCCCATTATATTAAAAGCTGTTAATACCTAAGACTTTCAAAATAGTTTTCATCTTAAATCAAAGCTTTTCAATAAGTTAAAGCATAAGCCTAATGGAACTTTCATAGACTTTCCTACAATATGCTAAAGTTGATTTAGGGCTTCTGGGTCCTATGGTGACATGCAAATGTAAATGATAAGGCCACTCACAGCTCTATCCTCCGTAGGCAGGAACCACTAACCTCAGGGAATTCAAGCCACACAAGAACATCACAGTCTCTGGAGCTGATGGGCTTGAGAGAAGTTTAGTGCAGAAAACCTTAACATTGGTATTTTAGTACATGGCATTTCTCCCATTCTGCTTTTTAGTATTTTCATTGCTATACTGAGACTGTCAAGATATAAAATTAGTCATTATTTCACTTAGCAATTTTTTTTCATTTCAATTGATTGAGGATTTCTTTCTTACCATCACTGATTGCAAACACTGAAAAAAAAAACAATTTAAAATCAATTTTAAGAGACTAAGCTAACACACACACAAATAGTAACGAAGCTAGCTTGCTCAGGAAATGCAGATAAATTTCTGCCATGAGGATGCCAGGATGGCAAAGCCAAATAACATCGTTTTTAAAATCTGCATCCAGTTTTCAAAGATATATAACCCCCTACATAAGCAAAGCTTAGCAGGAAGCTACATACATGTTTTAGATCCCCTTAAAAGGTGACTGTTAAATAGAGCACCGCCTTGAGGATGACAGGTTTTAGTCTGAATAAGAGAAACTGAAGTAATCACTCCTCTCCAGTGTAATAGAAAACTGGTAACTGTATCACTGATCAAGTTCAGTGTTTATTTGAAGCTAGTCTTAAATTATTTAAGGAGTAAACAAAACTGCTGTCACAGTTTACTAAATCAAACAAGTATATAAAGTGCTGCATGGTCAAGAGTATGTCTTTTAACTTCTTCTCTGGAAAGAAAGTTAGAAAACAAGAACACTAAAAGCAACACTAAAAGTCAATTATTTGCTCACCAAAGTTGAAGATGATGTGAAACTTGTGGTTTTGTCCCAAAATGAGCAAAAATGTCTGAAGAACAGAGCACAGAAATGACAGATCAAAGGGAAAGAAAACTTCTATTTTAGAGTTCTGGTATAATTTAAAATAAATAAATACCATAATCCATAAAGTAAAAAGAACATTTTATAAATTTTTTTAACTGTCTTGTATGAGGTTCACAGACCTGAGAACACACCCAAAATAACTCGTCCAAAGTATTCCTTTATAAAATTATAAATTATTGGTAACAGTTTCTTTAATGGAGATTGCAGGAGTAGGTCCCACATGAGTCCATATATAGCCCTTCTCTGGTCTTGTAGGAACAGTAGGGAAGGGAGATGACCGAGATTTGAAATATTCCGAAGGTGCATGACACACAAATTCCAAATATTCCATTTTCCTTGGGAGATCTTCTTCTGGTCCTAAGGGAAAAAAATAAAAAAATCTTCATAGACAAAGCTTAAAGGCATAAAATTGGAGTATGCAGGACTTAAAAATATGCAACAGCAGCCAACATCCCTTAGAGAATGTGTTTTTCCAATCAATGACCTTCCTGGCAAAGCAGCCTCAAATACGAGGCAGGAAACCTCTATCTTTATTTTTGCTCGGATGTTCTTTTTTTTTAATTTTCTTTTTTCCATTTCAAGCATTCAGTTATTTTAGTGAAGTACTTTAGCTAATATACTTTACATAGATACTATTTGTGGCCTGCCTGTCAAAAACACTTTTCTGAATGATTAATAATTTTATAATCAGTAGCAGAACACTCTCTATGCTGGTGGTTGCACGCTATGTATTTTAAGTACCCAAGATGAAGATCAACTAACTTGGGTCGCTTTAAAAGCTTGGACTGGTATATCAGGTTTATATTGCAGTAACTTTGATTCTGTCCACAGAGAAATAATTTGATCTTTAAAGTTGCCAGACAATAATTGTGCCCGTGAGCACAAATACTCACATTTACTGCAGTAGTGCTAATCATATTACATACATAAGATAAATAAAAAAAGTTATCGAACTAAACAGTATGCTTATAGGATTAGGGTCTAAAATGTGGAAATTGCATAAACGATCCTGACAAGCTAAAAAGTGAATTTAAAAAATACAACTCTGCATTAGTCTAGGAATAAATAAGTAGCTGTATGAAGGCCTAGTGATTACCTATGATATAGGATGCTGGGTCAAAACAATCTTTGGGGCTGGCTTGTGTAGGAATGAGCCAGGTTAGCGCAGCACTCTTCTCACAGTATTGGTCCTGAATAAACCCACGGATCTGAGCGTAGTATGTTCTTCCATCCTGCTCATCGACCACTGAAACAACATCTCCGATTTGATAGTACACACCCTAGAAGACAAACAAACGATAATTGAATCAAACAATCCGATTTCTGAAGCTTCACTGTGTGATCCTGATTCCTGAGTACCTTATGCATCAGTATCTTTAATTATCTCAGAGTGCTGTCTCACCTAAGCAGCCATCAGCACAGCTTGTGCACCATCACCCAACGTCCTGGAGTTTTGAGTTCAACGTCTAGGAGCCTGAGTGCAGTCCCAGAATTGCTTTTAAGACTAGGCAGGCAATTCCACATGGTCTCTGTCTGCCAAATGCCTCAGAAGCAACCTGGCCTCATCTGTCTTCAAAGACACAGCTCCCTCAGCAGTCCTGGGAGAGGTGGATGCAGAGCAGCTACACCTCCTGTCTGCAGCATGGCAACGGTCTCATTCCATCAGAAGTAGGAGAGTGCAACACCACCTTCTAGAAAATGTAACTGTGGTAACTTCCTGGTGTGTGCAGGAAAAGCAGCTTTCTGTGTTGAAGGGGTTTACTCATTTGAATGCAAACGAGTCCCAAGACACACATCCACCTCCTGCCACCTTCCATAACGCCTGAGGCTGCACCACAAAAGCAGCTCACTTCATGTTACAGCAGCGATCACAGCACAATGCAGTGCCTGCACCACCACCATCAGACTTTGCCAAGCATCATCCAGGAGGGTTTTGTTTTTAAAACAGATTTAAAAGACCTCAAAACCCCCAAACAATGCCCTTCTCAACAACACAACAAAGTACCAAAATACAAACACTTTTCATCAAGAGACCAGGTTAAATAAAACTGTTGACAACATTCTTAGAAATTTCTAAAATATAACCAACCAAATCCGAAAACACACAAGAAAAGATACAAATTCTCTTCCAAACTAGTCAACAGCAAACAAGAAATTCATCTGGGATGTGAGACACAAAGCACCAAGTCTCTAAAGAGCATATGGAAGTTCAGCCTGTCACTTCTCTGGCTGCGCAGTCTCCCAGTGGCTATCCTGACCTTTTCCTTGGGGGAAAAGATGTTTCTAATGAAACAAAAGCAAAGCTTCAGAACTTCAGAACACTAACACCTTGGCACGCTGGTAAAAATGCTCTCAAGCATCAATGTGAGAAGGCCAGTTTCTGCTTTCATTGCAACAGTCAACAGATCTCGTTCCCAGAGCGTTTGAGGCTGCTTGCATCCAGCTCCAAAAGGGAGCCAGTTTAGATGTTAGGGCAGCGCAGCCCATCCTCTCTACCAGCCACATTCTCTGCGCCTGAGGTAGAAAACACCACGCAAATTTAAATAATCAGCTATAGTCACTTTTGCTTGGCCTCTGCATGGTGAAAGTTAAAAGTTTAAAAACCTTGATTGCAGTAATTACTGAGGATGTAAGTAATGAATGCAGTAATTACCAGATGCATCTTTTTCTTGGAAGAAAAAAATGGGACAATGACAATTATGTAAACTACTGTGGTAAACTGCCTTGCAAGACTTAATGGCAATGCAATAAGGCAGAGCAAATCCTACCAACTGCTAGGCAAGGAAGAACAGTGTATGTGAATATACCCCTAGCGCTTTCACTATCTGTGATAATTTTCGAAATTGGAAACAGAAACAAGACGACCTTTTCCACAAACAAACTTGTGTAAACCATACCTTATAAAAGATTGATTCTGATGTAATTATAGTGGACACAGACTCAGGAGCTTTGATGGGCTAAAGAATGAATAGAGAAATGGAAAATCAAGAGTGTTATAACCATATAATATAAAAGATAATACAACAACCTGGAATTAACGCACTGATACATCATCTTCTTAGAAAATTGGTAAACACAAGAAATCAGGTGCAAAAATTTCAAACATAGAATCACAAAATGATATGGGGTTGGCAGCGAGTTCTGGAGACCACCCAGTCCAACCCCCAGAGCAGGTCCCTCAGGAACGTGTCCAGGGGGGTTTGAATGTCTCCAGAGAAGGAGACTCCACCACCTCCCTGGGCAGCCTCTGCCAGGGCTCTGCCACCCTCACAGCAAAGAAGTTTCTCCTTATGCTCAGATGGAACTTCCTATGTTCAAGTTTCATCTAAACATGAGGAGGAACTTCTTTACTTTTGCGCTTTGAAATGTTAACTTTACAGGATTAGATTTTATTCCCAGAATTTCAAGCCGAGAAGCGAGCACTAAATGCACACGAGTGGTTTGTATTTACACAGAACTCCTTCCCCCCGCAAGGCGCCCGCAGGGCGGGATGCTGTGGGGACCGGTGGGTCATGCAAGCGAGCCCCTGCTGCTGAAGAACGCACCGACTCGGGCTCTGGCAGCGACCACAACTGCTTCTTACCCAGGTTTCCGGCTCATTTTGCGACAGGACCTGCAAAACTCGACGCGGGTCCAACACACGGGCAAGGCCTGTGACCGCTCCCTTGGGGGACGCGCCGGCCCCAAGGCCTGCCCGGCCCCAGGCTCCCCGGGCCCGCGGGGCCCTGAGGCCCAACACTTCCCACACCAGCCGCAAAAAACCAAACCAAACCAAACCACCACCAACAAAAAAAACAACCACACGCCGCCTTACGTTTTTTAACTTAAAGATGTGCCTCCTCCCCTTGCCCTTCGTGGAAACCTTCTTCTCCGCGGCGGGCGCCGACTTGTACTTGGTGTTCCTCAGCCGCGCGGAGCGGCGGTGGATCTCCTGCTTACTCTGAGGGGGGAAAGGCCCGCATCACTGCAGGGACGGACGGGCGCTCGGACGGGCGCTCGGACGGGCGCTCGGACGGC